CATTTTTTGTTTTTTTTTATGTGTGTTACCTCATAACTTTGTACTGGGTGAACCGATTTCGATGATTCTTTTTTTTATATGAAAGCTGATAGATCTCGTGTGGTCCCATATGAATTTGATCAAGGTCAGACCAATGGTTTTTGAGTTATTCATAAATAACTTATATTAAAGTCGACTGTACAAAATTTTTAATTTTAAATTATTTAAGTTGTATTATTTTTAGGCGATTTTAGAAAAGAGAAGGATTCCAATCGACTGTATTTTATTGTTTTTTTTTTTGGATGTATATTACGGCGATATCAACGCCAATTTTAAGCCCATTTGAATAATTATTTTTTAATTAAATAAGCCTTTTATATTTTAAAACTTATTTTATCAAAGGATTTTTAACAAACTAACTCTAAATAGTAACAAATCACGTTTGAAACATTAAATATAAAAATGTATTCATTATAATTTACAGTTTAGTACTCAACAGATGTTAATAAAAAGTTTGAAAGTTACAACTTTAAAACATTTATAAACCTAACCAAGAAATAAAACTTTTAATCACCCTAACGCACTATATAACCATGAATTACAGTCGTCGGAGCATCATTACGACGCTTTGCTGTGAGCTTTGGAGCCGTCAGCGAAGGCCTAAAACACAATAAATACGCACCCGCACCGTTCCCGTGATCCCGTCTATCTTCCGGACATTAACGCCCTCTCGTAATCAAGTACACCTATAAACCATTACTGTAACGTAAATAAACTACTAGTGTACCTACGAAAAATAAATACAACAAGTGATGTTTATTTCAGACAATAGGAATAGGAAACATTAAAAACAAATTGGAATTTGTTTATCATTGTTATTAAAAAAATATGTGGTTTATTATTAAAATTAAACTATATCTACTGCCGCACACGAACTCCACCGATCAATAATAAACGGCAATATTTAGAAGAAAGGGACTTACCTTTGGCACATGTAAACAAATGGATGCAGGCCAACAAGAAAATCCAGTTACCGACTCCAAAGCGATTCATCCCTGTCCGGCACATGATGCAATTCACTTGAACAACACTACACTATAAATTTTAATTCATAGTAATCACATTTTCACATAAAATTCCACAAAAATTCGAACAACTTTTCAAGTGCCGCAAGACGAGTATCAAACCGAATAATCCGCCATCTTCAGGCAGAGACTGCTGCGTTCGGAAACCCGGCACAAACTTCCAGTTTATAAAAAGTACTCTGTGGCACAAACTCAATAACTAAAGGTCAATGTTCGGAACAATCATGTTAGGGACCGCAGTGAAGTTGCTCCGTGTCTCGTCTTGATGCCTCTCACTCTCTCCCTCTCTTGTAGGGACGCTGATCTTAGAGTATTAACATACGCTGATAAAACGGAACGTTATATACTCTTTGTACGCTGATAAAATTAATTAATAAAAACATGCGTGAGTGTGGTGGACCACTCGGTTGGAACGAAGTTCCTTTCGTAGTATATTATTATTCATGAACGTATTATATTATTGATTAACAAATTCAAATAAATGAATTACTAGCGTCTATTAAAATGAAGCGTCATTTAAAATAAAATATTATTCCATCTCGCTTCCTTATAGCCGCCAAGGTCATCTACACTACGTCAGAAAGGGTCGTGAAAGATAAATCTTACACTTTTTCTCGCCTAGCCCCCATCCGCCAAATTCATACTTATATATATAACTTCGTTCCAATTAAAAATAAAGAATGTTTCCTCATTAAAAAAACACTTGATATATTAACCTATATTATTAAATTAAAACATTTTGCGACGCAAAGTAATCCACCACTCCGTTTCGGCTTGTAGGTGTCCTAAAAGGTGATTAAGGGAAAATTCTTTTATGGTTTAGGTACAAAGTGTGGTTACCTATTTAGTTTATTTTTATAAAATGATCATTGATCCTATAGGATAATATTTAAATAAGCTAACTTTTATATGTATACTCAATATTTACACATAATCATACTTAATATTCTTTTCAAGACATCCGTACCTGTTTTACTTTTTAGTGTACGTAATATTGTTAAATAATTATATTTGGCAAATTTTAACAAAAACACAATTCCATCCTATTGAAAAATCATAAGTAACTTGTCACTGAACCGACATAATGTAATGTCAAAGCTTAAAATGGAGGCAGCACTCAGTGTTGCCAATTAAAACGATTTTCGCTACTTAGGCTTCCTCAAAGGAAGTCGGGGTACCAAAAATTGCGATTATCGACTGATCTCCTATTAGACTGCTCAGAAAAAAAAGCGATTGTAAATTAAATTCTATTTTAAATTCCGTATCCTATTGAAAAATCATAAGTAACTTATCACTGAACCGACATAAGGTAATGTCAAAGCTTAAAATGGAGGCAGCACTCAGTGTTTTTTTTATAGGATCGGGTGACAAACGAGCACACAGTCCACCTGATGGTAAGTGGTTACTGTGACCCATTGACATCTACAGCTATCCTCACTAAAGACTCAAGATGCAGATGCGTTGTCACCCGTGAGGACTAAGATGGAATGCCTCTTTGCCAGTAAAAAGGGTCTCCGGTTCTCTACACTCACCATACGAAACACAGTAGCGTTAAGCTGCTATTTTACGCTGGTTTTCTGTTAAAGCGTGGTCCTTCCCCGTTCGAGCCGACCCATTCGTGCTACAACCATAATATAGCTGCAGCATGGCTCTACCACGTAGAGAGAACTCAGTGTTGCCAATTGAAACGATTTTCGCTACTTAGGCTTCCTCAAAGGAAGTCGGGGTACCAAAAATTGCGATTATCGACTGATCACCTATTAGACTGCTCAGAAAAAAAAAAGCGATTATTAATTAAATTCTATTTTAAATACCGTATATTTTGCAACTGACATTTAGAGTACTTTTCTTGAAAAACTTCACCCTCAAGAATTAACGCCTACTGGTCTAAAATGAAAGGTATTTTTTTAAAAAAGAATTTAAAAAATTAGGCGACTTTACGAGCTATTGCGCAAATTTTAGGCTACTTGACTCAGCTAGGCTTGACAACACTGATTCCGTCATAGTCAAAAAATCACTGACTTAGAGGTATGTATCTCTTTGAGCATAGAAAATAGAGGAGCTGCCCAGAGCGTATATATGTTTTATTGGTTATTCAAATATGGTTATATTCGACATTGAACTGTCAATATGCTGCCTATCTCTTTTTCACTCAGCGAAGTGTAAGCCTAAATGTCATTCATAAATGAAACAGATAATAGAAATTGTTTCGTATTCTGGTAAACATTTTTAAGATGACGTCATTTAACCCCGCCTTGCGGCCGATTCCGTCATTTATTGTTTCGGATTTGCTGTTATAAAAAGCCTTTTGATATTTCTTAATTTGAAAATGTTGCGAATTTTTAACAGTTTATAGTGAATTTTACAATTCATTATAAAGTACGAAGATGACTAAGTGTTGTGTAAGAGGCTGTGCCTCAAAATATAGTCCAAAATCACGCGAGCTATCATTTCATATGTGAGTGATTCAGTTTTTGCTGTAAATATATTGTTAAAACGTTCATTTCTTTTGCGACAGTAAGTAGATGGATGTAATTATTTACCCTAAACCTTTAATTCATATTATTTAATTACTTCTTATCATTCTTTGCATATCTATAAAATTTTGTTGTTCATAAATAGTGATGTTACATTGCTAACAATAAATTCTTTCAAGGACATACTTTATTGAAATTTTTCTTGATTTATTCTGTCGTATTATGTGAAAAAGTTTTGCGTTATGCATTGCATTATTTCGGTATCATGGGTCTGAGCAGTGAGCATAAATGATTAACTAAATTATACGGAAACGGAGTTACATTCATGTTAGGTAGGACTTACGGTACCTACATAATAAAAGATAATCTAGCGCCTGTAAGTAATCTCTCTGTGTAAGCAAACATGCCAATACCTCAGAGACTATGGACATTATTACTTGACTTTATTATATATTGTTTAGTTATATATTGTATAAGCCTTCTAATAATGCAATATACATAAATGCCATGCCATGGTGTTGTTTAATTTGTAATATTATTTGCAGCTTCATAGATCTAAATCATTATTTTCTGTTCTATCATTTTCAGGTTACCAAAGAAGCAAGCAGCCGGGGTGGATATAAAACAAAAAATATTTCACGGCAAATAATTTATTTGATATGATAATTTGTAACCACAAGTGCATCGTAAAGTATAATAATATTCAAATCACAGCGATTCTAAAGTATTTTTACTTCAAAAGATATTAGCTTAACCGGCCACACGAAACTGGTGCGCACAGCATAATAGAAAAAAAAATGGTGGGGGAGAACTCCATCCTGTTTAACTATCCTGGCTTTAGATAGTAACTTATTAACCCAGAAGTAAAGCTTATTCTGTATAATATGAAGTCAGAGCAACTAGGTTGCTAACTTACAACTTACAAGCACGAGTTGCTGTCCGTGCATTAAGTATCAAAATCGTCTTCAAACTATTATTTAAACGATAAAATTAAAGTTAAATTCACGCAAAATTCCCCTAGCTTCCCTAATCGTTAGAGAAAATATAATTTTGCATATTTGATAATAAATAAAAATACATATAGGTGTTACTAAATTTTAAAAGTTGATTGACTTCACATCAGTAAAAAATAGGTGGAGCTTACAGCGTTCGCCATTTATTGTTTCAATTTGACACGATTTTTTTGTAGGCTTGCCATCTCCTCTATTTTCTATGCTCAAGGATATATCTCTATGCAAGAAATAAACAAGTCAAGCAGTGTCAACTGTCAAGTGTCAAGCTGTCAAGAGATAGCTGCTGTTCCTAACTTCATACACTGCTATTGTACACCATTTTCATAATTCATAATTAGTTACAGTCATAGAACTTATTACAATAATATCGATGATAAATAATAAATTATTTGTTACCTAACAAAATAAAATATTCATGATTTCTTATCACTAATACTAGAAATAAAATGGAATTAATATACTCAATGAGGCGTAAGCCTCTAAAATGTGAACCACCAAATTTCGAGAAGTATATATCGTGATTTACTGTTTGCTGTAAACACTTTGTTTACACGTTACACGTTACAGATTACAATGTGATTATTTCTTCACATTTTACAGTAGTGCAGACCCAGAGGAAGTCAGGCCAATTTGTACCATTTCAACGTGTAATATAATTGCATTTTCGTCTCTAACCGAGTTGTCTGACACTGATGGTGATACATGGGGTGGTCATGTTTACGTATGTGATCTGGACACGCCATGGGAAAGCCATAAAGTCGTTAGCACAGTGTATCCTGTAAGTGTAAAGTACTACTACTAAATTAAATGAATTATATTTAATTTAGTGAAATCACTATCATAATATAGGTTGATACAAGCTGTGAGATGTGGCTAAGTTGTAGATGTAAAATAGTTCACATATCCTTCAAATAAAAACTTTATGAAGGCATTGAACATTAAAAGATAGTCACATTTGATCATTTTCATTAACAAATAACCCTTTTATATTAATTACTATGAAAAAATCTTAAGTAAACATGTGAATTTTGCCATTGTCCTTGGGAAAAGTGTGATGAAATCTATTCTACTACTATATCCTCTCAAAGATGAGAGGCGCCACGCAATGGGAGTTTAAAAGATTTTACTACTTACTTTATTTTTAACCAAATATTTGATATAAAATTATAGCCTATAGAAAAGATTTAGGTGTAGTGATTGATATACTTTTTCTCTTTATTTATTATATTTGTTCTTTTAGGTTTCTGCTCTCGAATGGGATGGAGAGGGCAAGCAGCTTCTGGTGGCTACAACAGTCGGTGATGTGTCAGTCTATACTCAGAAAGATTATCTACTTAATGAATGGACCTGTCTATACACAGCTAGTTTCCCAGGTACAATGCAAGTTCTGCATACTAGAGTATATATCCTGAATTATATTTACACAAATTCACATGCTACTATCTACTCTTTTAATTCTCCAATTTGTGAAAATTTACTTTTTATTCATCATCATCATTACAACCCATCACAAGTCCACTGCTGAACAAAGGTGAACCCTAAGGAATACAATAAAGCAAGGTCCTGAGCCACCCTTATCTATCGAATGTATCTGTGTCTCTTACTAGGTTGTCATTTACATCTAGTGGAGAACAGCCCTACACTTCTCTGGTCATTACTATATTACATTTGGTTACTTTTTTACATTTGGAATTTAATAATACCAATACAGGGAAATAACAGGGAAATAAATACGAACCTAAAAAATATATCATATTCATTGTATTGTACTTTCAGGTGAACATATAATAAAAGCTGTATTCTTTCACAATGGACGTAGAATAGTTGCAGTTGAAAAGAAGCCAGATGCTCCTATTAGTGAAAGGATACAGATGTTACGTTCTGTACCTACATTAAAAGGATTTGGGTGAGTTAAGTTCTGATACAATAATTTACGTGGTAGAGCCACGCTGCTGCTATATTGTGGTTGCAGCATGATTGGGTCCGCTCGACCGGGGTAGGACCACACTTCAGAATACCAGCATAAAATAGCAGCTGAATGCTGTTTTGTTTTGTATGGTGGGTGTAGAGAACCGGACACCCTTTTTACTGAAAACGAGGCATTCCATCTCAGTCCTCAGGGGGTGGCAACGCATCTGCAATTTGATTCTTAATTGAGGATAAATGTAGATGTCTATAGGCACAGCGCCCACTTATCATCAGGTGGACTCTGTGGTCGTTTTTTTTATAGAATATGGGTGACAGACGTTTCAAGCTATTGATAAAATATCTATTAATCAAGTACACATATTCCATGAATTATACTTACTCATTTTCACGCACAATCCCTGACGGGGTAGCCAGAGAGAACAGATCGCCAAGTGTCACGATCCTCACATACCTCTTTCGCTTCTTTCAGATTCATTATCTTTCTTCATACATGCACGTCTAGGTATCCGAGTACTCTTGACCCTACCCTCTTCGAGCAATTTGCTCACAAGGTCTTCGAAAGTTAGTCTCGGTCTACCTCGACACCTTTTAATATTAACTTTCGCACTATATATTTTCTTCACCATTCGGTCTTCACTCATTCGCTCAACGTGCCCAAACCACCAAAGCACGCCCTTATCAGTTTTTGTGATAAGGTCATCTTTCAAACCTGCCATATTGCGAATCTCTTTGTTACGCTTTCGGTCGGCCATGGTAACGCCGCTCATGTTACGAAGAGATCGCATCTCCACTGCATTCAACTTGCTTTTATGCTTCTTCTGGCATACCCAGGTTTCGCTGCCACATAACAAAGTCGGTACCAACACTGCATTATGTATTGCAAGGCGTGCACTCTTCACTACGCCTTGCCTTTTGACTAACGCAGTCAGGGCACCATTGACTTTGTTCCCGGCAGCGACACGCCTGTCCACATCTAATTCTCATCTTCCATCCCGGCTAAAAGCACTCCCCAAGTATACAATTTCATTTACCTGTTCTAGACATTCCTGATTTACCCATATTTCACACTTTGTTCTCTCTTCGTCCCTTTCAAATACCAGAACCTTAGTTTTATTAGCATTCAAACGGAGACCTTTAATTTCACATTCCTCTTTCATACACATGACTAATGCCTGCAGAAATAATAATTATAATTACTAATATGTGTGAGAGTGTTAGAGAACATTTCAAAACCTTAGTATAAATTAGCAGGCTTCACTGAATTTCTTTTCTGTAAAACATCTTGTAACCTGTCCATCACACAATTGAAGATGATATGAAATAACTTAAAATTTTGTACAACCAACTTTAATATAAATTATTAAAAATAACTCAAAAACTAGTGGCCAGACCTTGATCAAATTTATATGGGACCATATGAGAAGCGCCAGCTTTCAAATAAAAAAAAGAATCATCGAAATTAATTCACCCAGAAAAAAGTAATGAGGTAACACATAAAAAAACCATACAGTCGAATTGAGTACCTCCTCCTTTTTGAGGTCAGAATCACCTTTTCACACTTTTATAACTAAAAATTCTTTATCTTATATACTTAGATCAGTTTGCAAAGGGGTCTTTCCCGCAACTCCAAATCTTCATCATACTTATGTTATATCATCTTATATTCATATTATACTGCAAGGACGTAACCAACCAAACTTATGTTTGTACAAAAACAAAACAAAATTACTTTCAGTCACAGAGGTTGAGTTATTATGCCGTAATGATGTGGCATAGTATCAAATGGTTTTCTACTTATATGGCATATCTGATTGTTATCAAGATTTAATGCAACCAGCCATTCCATATATCGAAATGTCTTTATTAAGTCCTTTTGATTGCCAATTTGCATGTCAATCAGAAACGGCCTAGATAATATGTCCTTTTGATTTGTTCAGTGTGTTCAAATATGCAAGTTAAATGTGTTATATTTATTGGCAGTGGTGTTGCGTGCGAAGGAGCCTGTTTGATCACAGGCACAGGCTTAGTGGGCGCTATGATGCCTACCGGTGAATCCAATCGAGCCCTCGTCGCTTCTGACTGTCTACGAGCCCCCAGAGATCACATTGCAGCCGCTTCCTTCACACATAAAAGTAAGATTTTGTGAAATTTTTGCAAAAAATTTATTGTATGAGTCCAATCTCTTATTTGTATTTGAACTTATTTTAATTACTTTTTTTTTATAGAAATCAGTATGAAAAATATGTACACAGTCCACCTGATGGTAAGTGGATATTGTTGTGCGATGTATATTTCTACCCAAAATCAAAATGCAGATGTGTTGTTATTTGTGATAGTGTATTTGCATTTTGATGCTTTTTACTGGTAATGAGACATTCCATTTGTGGAATCTCTAGTTGTCATCACTCACCATGAGAAACACTCAGCATGCTGCTGTATTATGTTGGAATCTTATGTAAGTATGGTCATTCTCCAGTCAAGCTGATCTATTTGTGCTGCAGGCATAGTATACTGTAGTGTGGATGTACCAAATAATAATAAGTATGTTCTTGATACAATGGATTTTTTTATAGAATAAGGATGACAAACGAGCACACAGTCCACCTGATGGTAAGTGGTTGCTGCGGCCCATAGACATCTACATCTATCTTCGTTTGCGAATTAAAATGCAGATGCGTTGTCAGCCGTGAGGACTAAGATTGAATGCTTCTTTTCCAGTAAAAAGAGTCTCCGGTTTTCTACACTCCCATACAAAGCACAGCAGCATTAAGCTGCTATTTTACGGTGGTATTCTGTGAGAGCGTGGTCCTTCCCCGGTCGAGCCGACCCATTCGTGCTACAACTATACTATTAATATAGCTGCAGCATGGCTCTACCACGTATATCCAGAGTATTATATTAAGGCTTGCTTATTACATTACACAATACTTCAGTGGTTTCATTTTTAATTTTTCTACTTTTCGTCATATTTATAATTTGGTTTATTCATTTCTAATCTAATTAATATAAAATATAACTAATAATACCGAAAGAAACATTAAAGTTCATATTTTCCTAAGAAATTATCTTCCCCGCTATGAAATTTATCAAATATTATACCTCATTGTAAAGTGGCGCCGCCCTGGTGGCAGAAAATGTCGTGGATGCCCTCATTGAATGCCACATGATCAATATACTATACTATCGACCCGCCCCGACATCGCCTGGGTGGGATCTATTAATGTGAAGGCATTGCCTTTAATATTAAAATAAATAAATTTGACAACGTCCATTCTGATGTTCACAGACGGCAGCATTCTAATCGCGGCCGCGTGGCGTCGCAGCGGACGACGCGGAGTCCGCTGTGCCGCGTGCGCGCTGAGCAGGCCCACCGGTGCACGGTCCGCGCCGCTGTCGCTGGCGCTGCAGCCGCTGCCCACCGTCTACCTGCTGGACGATGAGCCCGGTCAGTGCTCTCTGTCTCACTCACACTCACACTCCCTCTCACTCTCACTCGTATAGGCCTGCCGGCACACGGCCCGCGCCGCTGTCGCTGGCGCTGCAGCCGCTGCCTACCGTCTACCTGCTGGACGATGAGCCCGGTCAGTGCTCTCTGTCTCACTCACACTCACACTCCCTCTCACTCTCACTCGTATAGGCCTGCCGGCACACGGCCCGCGCCGCTGTCGCTGGCGCTGCAGCCGCTGCCCACCGTCTACCTGCTGGACGATGAGCCCGGTCAGTGCTCTCTGTCTCACTCACACTCACACTCCCTCTCACTCTCACTCGTATAGGCCTGCCGGCACACGGCCCGCGCCGCTGTCGCTGGCGCTGCAGCCGCTGCCCACCGTCTACCTGCTGGACGATGAGCCCGGTCAGTGCTCTCTGTCTCACTCACACTCACACTCCCTCTCACTCTCACTCGTATAGGCCTGCCGGCACACGGTCCGCGCCGCTGTTGCTGGCGCTGCAGCCGCTGCCCACCGTCTACCTGCTGGACGATGAGCCCGGTCAGTGCTCTCTGTCTCACTCACACTCACACTCCCTCTCACTCTCACTCGTATAGGCATGCCGGCACACGGGCCGCGCTATTGTTGCTGGCGCTGCAGCCGCTGCCCACCGTCTACCTGTTGGACGATGAGCCCGGTCAGTGCTCTCTGTCTCACTCACACTCACACTCCCTCTCACTCTCACTCGTATAGGCCTGCCGGCACACGGTCCGCGCCGCTGTCGCTGGCAACGTTTTGATAATAAAACAAAAGCGCGTAACGGGCGGCCTTAACAAAAGCGCGTAACGGGCTAATTGATACAGACTCTCGCACGCGGACGTAAGGTGCATTTTGATTTAATACCCGCGCTGCATTAATTTTCGTTTCGACGATTTAATTGGTAGGCTAATTTGACAAAGGTCGTGTCAGAGGCAAGCAAGATATTATGAGCATTAGCGACGTTGTAACTAGGCTTAAACTCGCAAGTTTGCTATCAGAGAGTGATCCTTCTGTTCTTGTACTATTTATGATTTATTCTGTGATTTTTGATTTTGATTTTTTTTTTTTAAAAACGTTACCCCCACACTAGGATTTTCTCCTGTGTCGTGGAGGCAGTTTACAAACATAAATTGCAAAAGGACTAACATCCAGACCCGGAACAATTATTTGTAGGCCATACAAATACTTGTTCCGTGCGGGATTCGAACCCGCGGCCCCCAGCGCAACAACTGATTGCTAAGCCACTGCGCCACGGAGCCGTTAATTAAGTAATAAATCGTATTTCAGAAAATCGAATACATTTTATTAGCGATGTAACGATACCGATACCGATATATCGGCCGATATAATCGGCAGGCCGATATATCGGCATCGCCGATTTAAATACAGCCGATAAACAGTTTGAAAAGCGCGCGAAAAGAACGACGCGCTCGCGCGCGACCACGTTGCCACTCCGTCTCAGAGGGCGGGAGGGGCGAAGGATGCGCCCGCCAGCGAAACGGCAATGCGGTTAACGGTCGTCACTCGTCAGTGTTTGCTTAGTTTTGGCCCAGCGTTGTAATGTTTTTCGGCGAATTTACGTCTCGTCGCCGCTATTCATGATTTTGTCTGTTTTTGAGTGAAGTGAGGACTGTAATACAGTTACGTACGATAAATAAAATGGCGACTCCTTTAAAACATAGAAGTAGCATCTGGAATCATTTTCAAATAAAACGGGATGATGACACAAAAGCGACTTGTTTATATTGCAATGTCAGCGTTTCTCGTGGTAGCAAAGCAGTTTCATCGAAGGGCTTCACGACATCTAACATGTGGACACACGTGAAGCGCTATCACGAAAAGGAGTTGGAAAAAGACACCCCAGGTACCTCAAGCGCCGACGGTGGCCCGCCGCCTAAAAAACAAGCTACTTTGGAGCACATTTTGGAAAAAAGTGTCATGTATGATACCGATGACCCTAGGGCAAAAGCGATCACGCAAACAATAGCTGAACAAATGTGTGTAGACATGGAGCCGTTTGACTTAGTAAATAAACTGGGGTTTCAACGCACTATTAAGCAGTTTTGCCCGAAATACAAAATGGTTTCCCGTCCCCATATTTCGGAAAATGTAATACCAGACATGTACTGCCGTGTAAGAACCAAAATAATGGAACTTTTGCATGAACTTCCGCACATCACTATCACGACTGACTTATGGACAAGCGATGCTTCTTCGTCCGTTAACGACTTTATAAGTGTGACTGCTCACGGACTTGATAAAAATTTTGAGTTGAAGAACTACTGCCTAGAAGTATTTCCTTTTGAAGGCGAAAATCATAGCGCTGAAAACGTAGCTCAAAACTTACGTCAATTATTTCAAGATTGGCACATCAGCGAACGGGTACGTGCTGTAGTGACAGATAATGCACCGAATATGGGGCTTGCTATAACACTAGTGGGAGTTCAACGTATCAGATGTATGGCGCACTCTTTACAATTAGTGCTGAAGGATGCGTTTTTTGAAGAGAAAATAAATGCCATGATTACAAAGGCGAGATCTATTATTGGCCACTTCGGTCATTCAACTTTAGGTCGCAAAATCCTAACAGAAATGCAAAAATCTCATAACGTTCCTTGTCACGTTCTCATTCAGGATGTCGTTACTCGCTGGGATTCAACCCTTCATGCACTTAGAAGACTTTTAGAGCAACGAGTTGCAATTAAGGCTTCTTTGCCTCATGTGAAATGTAGAACTGAATTGTCTACAGAAGAATGGCTATTGATGGAACAAGTTGTTTCGACTTTGAATTATTTTGAAGAAGCTACAAAATCTATAAGTGAAGAATCTGCTTGCTTATCTGACGCTATACCTCTTATTAACAGTATGCGAAAAATTTTAAAACAGATCAAAAATAATCAAGAGACCGCGGACGACAGTTACAGCAGCCCAGAATATTATAATTTTGTAGAGATTTTGTTAGCTGGAATAAATGACAGATTTGATTATCTAGAGAGTGAGGAAACCTTTATTTTATCAACAACACTAGATCCGCGCTATAAATTGCGTACGTTCTTTCTACAATCCACAAGCATTGAGGCGAAAAGAATACTTATCTCCTTAATTACAAACAGGGATACACATGTTCCTGTAGAGCGTGTAGAGTCACAAAAAAAGCAAGATGAGACTTTCTCAGGTATCTGGAGTGCTTGTGACAGTTTGATTAAAGAAGCAGAAGAGGAGGAACCTTTATCAAACATGTCTAGTCATCCTGAGCAAGAAGAGGTGGAATCTTATACGAGATGTCCAAATATTCCAATGAAACAAGATCCAAAGAACTATTGGAGCAATGAAGATAAATACCCAAAATTGAAAATGCTTGCACAAAAATATTTATCTTACCCAATGAGCTCAGTTGCCTCAGAACGTCTTTTTTCAACTGCAGGCCTCATACAAAATGATTTGCGCAACAGATTATCTGCTAGTAATTTGAATAAACTTTGTTTCCTAAACAAAAATCTTCCTAAAGTGAACTTTGATTATTAATATTGATTTACTTTTGATTTGATGCCTTGATAAATGTTACCCAAATAAATGTTGATATGATATTTTACCTTTTTTTTCATTATTTTTAATTTTCAATTTTGCCACACTTTACAGAATGGAGTGTCTATTTATTCCATGTAACATAAGTAAGTTTTATGTACATAAAGTACATCATTCTTTATTTACTGGGTGTATTTACTACTAAGCCATCGATATCGGTATCGGTATCGGTATCGCCGATTATTTTTCTCGATAATCGGTATCGGTATCGTATCGGCAAATTCATGTATCGTTACATCGCTACATTTTATTTTTAGGGATGAAAAGTGATACGTATTTTTATATCTTGGATAAATGGGCCATCTTTTGAAGTAACTTATCTAGTTTTTTTTTTAATGAAGAGTCAAAGTTAAGTGATCTTATTTTTGCAACTACGACTAAAAGAAACTACCTTAATTAAAATTAAATTATTTTTGTGTAATTTTAGTAAAATTGAGAAATTTGTGGTCACAATACCTAATGATATGATTTTAAGGTGTCGATTTTCTTCATTTTCATACATTTGTCAGTTACAGTTGAATTGAAAGAATTTATTTAAGTATGAAAGAATTGAATGAACTATCAATTTTACTAATAGTCCTATGAAATATTTATTCGTAGGTAACATTTTTATTAATCTCAGGACCTTCAAGCAATTCCGCATGCGAGATTCAAAGGCATGTCCATAATAATCTTTCTCTAATGCTAAAAAATGTAAACTTCAGGTAAATAAGCGCCCGATAATACGACCATGAGTTATAACTGAACTAACTGATAAGGATTTTTTCCCGAGCTGGTATGGCCTCCGTCTCGCCCCGTGTCCGCTTGGGTTTCGGGACACGTTGTATGATTTTAAAATGCTTTTTTTTTTTAAAGAAAAGGATGTCCTGCTGGGTCTTGCTGATTCTTTCCAGGACAAAGATATTTTCCGAACTAGTAGTGAATTAAACAAAAATGAGTTTCAATATTAATAATCCATATTGAATATTATAATGAAAAAATCTATTCTATTCATAACTTCTGTATTTTTGTATCCCTTTTCAGTATCAATAACTTGGTGCCTCCGTGAAGACACTGACTCTCTTCTTATTGCTGGTTCAACATTGACTCTCTGGAAACTGACTGAGCGCTCCTACCCAGTACACAAACTACTATCCAAAGGTTATTATTTATTAAACTGTTTTTTTTTAAATTTAGTTTAACAGTTGGGCTGAAAAGTTCGTATCGTTTTATATAAAATAGTGTTTCATTAACACACGAAATTCCTTTTTTTCAAATATTTCAAAATAAAAGTTGCTTCACTTAAAATGCTCTATCTCACAAACTAATAATCAGCTGTCAAATTTATACACGTTTCTTTTGAAGGTTGGTACTAACTAAAATGGATGGATTCTAGTCTAGTGGCGCCATCTCATAGAAACGATACGAACATTTCAGCCCACCTAATATTTTTTTTGTATAGTGACTAACGCACAACAGTCCCTGTTTGTGACTGCTGCAGTCCAGGGACAGCTGCTACCAACAGCATTCCAAGAAGGCTACGGATGTGTTTTCACCTCTGAGTACTAAGATGGAATACCTCACAGCCTGTGATTATACTGTCTCTCTCATCTCTTTGATGTTTTTAAAACGAAAATTTCAAAAAATCGAAGAGGTTCTGTATTCGACACATGGTATGTTTTTATGTATGTTCACGGATTTCCCAGACGAATTTAACGGCTGAATCAATTTTATACTTTAGGGGAATTCCACATAAAGTTGTGAAACAATAAGAGACGAAATATTTAGTGTAACCATTTACATTACATTATAGTTGATACCATCACCTTGTCCTTCATTCCACGCAAAAATCCTCAGAAGCAATTTCGAGGGCTAGGTATTGTGGTAATATTACTTTATTCTTTTTATTTTTGAAAGTCAATGTTTATTGAAAAATTTACACTTAATAAGTAAATAAGTGTGAATTTTTCATGTTGTATGTATTTAGTGTTAAATTTTTTTAGGTCCTGTACAAGGCAACACTACACCGGGTGGAGGCCCGAAAGCACCCACAGACTGCTTTAACACAGTGGTGAGATTTTTCAAGATGATATTTAATCTTATTTCTAGAAGAAGAAAAAAAAACAATTATTTCTATGTCATAAAAATACTTGTTCCGTCTAGACAGCGGATATTGGACCTTATCATTCAGATGTAAAGACAGATTTTCCATATATCTATGTGATTTCTATTGCAATGCCAAGCTTTGGGAACATTCTCCAGCAACCAAAATGCAACACGTTCAGTCCACGCGTTCTATGTGGGCGTTGCTGAAGTTTGCTCTCCAAAACAATTCACGCATGTACGAATTTCGATCATGGCGGATCTGCGAGACGTCGGTAGAGATATGTCACTTCCTATTCGCTCCTAAGATTGTTTAAGGAACAGTTTATTTTATCTTGCGTGCGTGTATGTGTGCATGCGCGTGTGCGTGTTCGTGCGTGTAAAAAGATCAAAAATTTTAAACTTAATAAAAAGTGAAAGCCACCTTTAAGTAATTAAAAAGAGTGAAATAATTTGCACTCAGAAGTTGTTTTTGCATTTTATAGACCACTCAACACCTCAAAGGTTAAAATAATTACAATTTTAATAAAACGTCTTCAAAAATTAAAAATTAAAACATGGATAGAAACTGGATGTGCAGTATCATCATCCATTGATGAGGATCCAACTGACTTTTGTGATTCAATGAGAATGAAGGAAGACAAACGTATTATATCAAATGGGTGGTTTGCTCTTTAAGTTCATTTCATGATTCCGTCCTTCGCCCTGCGTATTATGCACTAGCCCAAAGCATACTCTTATAATTTTCATCACAAGTCCACAGCTGAACCTATATAATAATATACTGTTTACATTGTGTTTAATTCAACGAGGCTGCGGGTTCGGGAATTACGTGGGTGCGCAAGGGAAGAAAAAGTTTACCGTGTTTCTTAATTCGATCTCACACTTCGTATTCGCATTTACCACTTAAAGCGAGAACTACCTATATTAAAAGGCTTTTAGCGCTTCCGTTTCTGGTATATGAATATTTGTCCAGCACGAAGTAACCGTGCGACATTCGGTGGATAAAAATTTACTTTCTTTAAAAGGTTTTTGATTATTATTAAGAAATAAAGGATGTAAATTAAAATGTAGTCGATTAAGAATCTAATTCAGTAACATGCCTTTCCTATTATAGAAATATGTTATATAATTATCGTTTAAAAATAAGAGAATTCGATCGTCAACCTTTATTTTCGACGATTAAGTTATATTTTTTAATTTCGATAAATATTAGTATTTTTGGTATGCGCATATCTTTTTCTGAGCGTAATACTATTTCAAGAAAATTGTGTCTAAATCTAAAATAATTAATTTTTGTCCAACTTTTATACGTGGTAGAGCCATGTTGCAGCTTGCAGCTATATTAGTAGTATAGTTGTAGCACGAATGGGCCGGCTCGACCGAGGAAAGACCACGCTTTCACAGAATACCAGTGTAAAATAGCAGCTTACCACTGCTGTGTTTCGTATGGTGAGTGAAGAGAACCGGAGACCCTTTTTACTGGCAAAGAGGCATTCCATCTTAGTCCTCACGGGTGACAACGCACCTGCGTCTTTTATCTTTATTGAGGATAGATGTAGATGTCTATGGGTCGCAGCAACCACTTACCATCAGCTAAACTGTGTGCTCGTTTGTCACTATATCCTATAAAAAAGAAACTTGGCCTTAACAGCGTGACTATTACCAAAGTCTTCTATGTGTCCTACTAAACCAGCAATTCAGAACAAAAACTATCACAGCTGTGGGCGCGGGCGGGCATCTGGCGTGGTAGATACGCCGTGCAGTTGTATATTCATTTATGACAGTTATTGCTTGTGGGCAAATATAAAGTTACATACTTATCTGAAATAAATTACGTTGACAAAGTGTCCAAATTACTAATGACAGCATTTTTGTGGTACCGTTAAACAAAGTCAGTGTTAGATTGTCGAAAACAACGTTCGCGGTTTACAAAACAAAGAACTACTCTTCTCGGCCGCTCGCAGTCGACTAAAGGAGTTACGTCTACGCAATGTATTAGTACCGTAGTGCCCGTTTAGTAGTACAAATAGAAGTCTTTACACTTATCAAAGTGTTGAATTAGTCAATATGAAAAGTTGAATGAGGCAGTGGTGTGGTGGTGGTGTGTGGCAGGTGTGGCAGGCGGCGGGCGCGTGGCAGGCGGGCGGCAGCGGTGGCGGCGCGTACGTGTGCAGCGCGCGGCTGGCGCAGTGCGCGCCGCACGTGCTGCTGGCGGCGCCGCGCGCGCTCCACCTGCTGTCCAGGGACAACCACCACTACGTTAGTATTCCAGTTGTGCACTGTCTCGCTCCTCTACTGTCTCCTGTGTCGCAGTGACCCCGAAGTGGGTTTTAGCCTCCGACTCGAGAACACGCCACTTCTTTCTGCCATGCGCAACCTCTTGCCACTTGTCTTCAATTTAGCGCGCGCAGGTGGTGTGCAGAGTGAGGGAATAGTGCACCTGTGCTTATGCATGCACTCGGGTACTATTATCCTGTCCTGTGCAGATGGCTAGCCTCCGTTTAAACCTGTCTTCCTATCGTAACCTATTAAACTATTTTTCACCGAGTAATTTATATTATTATTGTTGGATAGGACAAAGTGTAGGGTGTCCCCCCGCTAGATGGAGTGCCGACCTGGTAAGACATGCAGGAGGTCGATGGATGCAGGTGGTTCAGGACCGTGCTTTATGGCATTCCTTGGTCTATGTTCAGCAGTGGGCTTGTGAAGGGCTGTGATGATGATGATTGTTGGATACTTTATAGTTTAATGATAATGCCATTTTACTCGATGTCGACCACAACTATCGCAAGATAAAAAAACATTGTAATGCAGTGTTAGAGATACTGAAACAATCACAAAACATACAGACCCGAAAACCTATTATTTGTGTTATTTAAAAGTGCTCAATTAAGCTGGGATACGAACACAGAATCCTTGAAGTAGTAAGTAATTATTGTAACAAAAAAAATTGATTATATACAATAGTATACCTAGCCCTTAACAATATATTACACACGTACACCCGCATACTTATTGCCCCCATATAGCCTGCCCCTTTTAAATTCTATTCCGTGCCTATCATGACGGTTGAACGAAACATATACTGTGCACTGCGGCCGTATGTACAAAACGTTATATCTGTGAATACTGTTGCGAGCTGGAGGGTCGAGACAATTAAAAACTGCCGATTGAATTACCAAATTTGACACTTTAATTACGGATACTAATTACACCTTAAAACACACTAATAATAAAACACAATAATTCTACTGATCACTTAAGTTTGCAGTTGTTTCGCTTCGAAGTATTCTCCTGTATCGCCAATTCAATACTGTCCCGGTCGTGGTCTATACCGGCCTTATATAGGGCCTCAGATAGTTTCCAGAACCTTCTACTGTATCGACATCTAGAATGTTCGAGTACATATCGGTCCCGTAATTTCTGGAAGGATCTCGACTCTCCTAGTTCTGCTACTCGACACTAGAGAGCGCTAGTGTAACTAGTGTTGCCATGTACGAGACATTAATAGTGGCGCGCAACACTTTCTTTTACTCGACACTAGAGGGCGCTAGTGTAACTAATGTTGCCATGTACAAGACATTAATAGTGGCGCGCAACAATACACTTGTGACCTCGCACCAAATTATTAAGTACTGGTGAAGTACGTTTAACTGTGTGTCTGGTTCCTGTGCCGATTACTAACGTATCGTAACGTAATCCTTTTATATTTAAAAAATGTTATTTCATTTACATTCATATCTGTGCCGGACGGGCGAAAATCTCCGGAGTAAATGTTGTCGGAGATACCCCGCGAGTCGCTCACGTCCTACACCTGTAGGTTCCAGACTCCTCCAACTGCCGTCTTTCACTGCCGTCTTTCACTGCCGTCTCTTTGGTTGCTGCGAATAAACTGTGGACTGAGGTTCAAAATTAAAATGCACGATTTGTAAATTAAAATAGCAAGGGAGTGGCCAGCGGATCGACTAATTAATTTGTCGCGAGATTTTACACTGTTATTTATTTATCACTATTTTTCAACTATGATTGTTCACTATATATTTTAAAACACAGATTTAATTAAACACACAGTAATATTAAAATTTCTATTGGTTTTCTAAAATTTCTATTCGTATTTTTAAAATATCTGTTGGTAATATCAAATTTCTATTGGCAGTAACAAGTTTCCATTGGTATTCTCTACGATTTCTATTGGTAATTTTAAATATCTATTGAAAGTAACAAATTTCTATTGGTAGTATCCAAAATTTCTATTGGTAGCAGCTGGTTTTCTAACACTACTGACTAGCAGCTATTAATCAACTAAAATTAGTTGAATTTAAACACTTTTGTAACTGCGAATATCAGTTACCACTTTTTTCGTCTAGCTAACACTTTTCACGAAATGTAACGGCGAAATTTCCGTTACCACTTTTTTCAGCTAGCCAACACTTTTTCACTATATGTAACTGCGAATATCAGTTACCACTATTTTTGGCTAGCTGACACTATTTTTCTATGTGCAACTGAGAATTTTCAGTTGCCACTTTTTCCGACTATGTGTAACTGCGATTTTTCAGTTACGACCTTTTTCGGCTAGCTAAACTTTTCTATTTCACTTTAACTTTTCACTGTGTTCTGCTACTAGTCACTTCAGCTACTACCGGATACTGCTGCTTGTTACTGGTAGTTCTTCCTACTACCATGTTACTGTGATTTGCCCCCATAAGGTAGACTTCGGCTATACTCTATAGAGAGCCGCTTGCCAATTTCCGGTTTTGCCTTTTTATTATCAAACATTTTCATTATGTATTTTGCACAAATCGCAATTTTTCTATATAATGCTAATTTTTACATTAACACGCTATACACTATAAAATAGGAATTTTGGTCCTTTATCATTATGTGATAAGGGTTACTTGATATATTTACATTCAAAAAAGTTATTAATCAAAATGTGCCTAATTTACATAACAAAAGTGCACATTAAATCTTTAATTTTACTATATTTCTCAAATGCGTTTATTTACATAAATTATCTATTTACTTAGTTAGTTCTATAGCGCGGCGCGCTGTGATTGGTCGATATTTTCTTAAACAAATTAAAGTTGTTTATATTAACTATTGTCAAATCGACCTTCTATTCAAACATATTGAGAGTTGTAAATACATGGTAAAACTATATTTAATACATTATTTAGTCAATTTTTCCGTATTTCCATTTTTTAAACAAATAAATATTCCTTAATCACTTTCTCGTTTAAAGTCATTTTTGCCGTTGTGAACAGTCATTTTGGCCGTCTCGAACATTTCTCCCGCCGTGCAGCGTCGCGAAGACCCGTCGCAGCGGCGCTGCATAATTTCGGTGAGAGACGTTGCCTCTACTTCGGCAGCGGCACGAGTTTTCTGGTTGGCCTCTTGATTAGTCCATTCGCTGTGCGTACCTCCACAGTGCGGATCTGTCCGTCCGCCCCGGGGTATATGTTTTCAATCCTTCCTCGTGGCCAGGTGTTACGAGGTAACTGGCTGTCAGCTATGAGGACTGGATCGCCCACCTGGAGATCGGGGCCTTGACCGTGGGCCTCCCGCCGGTTTTGAAGTTCCGGCAGATATTCTTTGACCCAACGCTGCCAGAACATGTCAGCGAGTATCTGGGAGCGTCGCCAGTGTTTTTTGCTGTTCGCATCTTTTTCACTAAAAACTCCAGGTGTTGGCAGTCTCGCAGATCCTCCCAATTGGAAGTGATTTGGAGTGATGGACTCGTTGTCTTTGCTGTCTACTGAGATGTGAGTCAATGGTCTGCTGTTTACTGTATATTCCACCTCGCAGAGCAGCGTGGTCAAGACATCTTCGTGCGGATGTCTCTCATGAAGGACGGTGTATAGTGCCGTCTTCACGCATCGAACAAGCCGTTCCCACACCCCTCCCATGAAATGCGCGGAGGGGGTTATAAATCGCCAGACTATGCCTCGTCGGCTGGCTTCTTCTCGGAAGGCCTCTCGAAGCTCCTTGTCGGCACCGTGCATATTGGTGCCGTTGTCCGAGTAAATCTCGGTGGGACATCCTCGGCGCGCTGCGAATCTTCTTAATGCCAGTATGGCAGAGTCTGCGCTGAGATCTTTCACAATTTCCAAATGTACAGCTCGTGATGTAAGGCAGGTGAAGAGCGCCACGTATCTCTTCTGATGCTGACGTCCCACTGTTACGGAGAGTGGCCCAAAATAATCCAGGCCGGTGAACGTGAACGGTCTCTGGTGATGTGCGAGACGCGTGCTGGGATGATCACCGGTGGCTGGCATGGATGGTTGTGCCTTTCTTATGCGGCACTGAACGCATTGGCTTACTATTCTTTTAGTAGTGGGTCTTAGTCTGATTACCCAGTAATGCTGTCGAACCTCGTTGATGGTTGGTTCGGTCCCGCAATGATGCAGGCTACGATGCGTCCAATCAATATACAATTGGGTGATGTGATGATCACCATCCAATATAGCTGGCCCTTTCATATCTTCAGAGACTCCTTTTACAGCGGCTATTCGACTTCGTAGCGCAATGATCCCGTCTTTCAATAGTATCTGTAGTGGTCGTAGGCGGCTATCATGGGCGACCCTCTTATTGTTACGGAGATCGGCTATCTCTTGTGTGAAGGAGTCTTCCTGGATGACATGTACCAGGAGCTTTTCGGCCTTTCTTATATATTCGGCCTCCAGTGTGATGTATTTGTTTACATCTTTGCTTTTCACCTGACTGGGAGGCTGCGCGAGACGTCGCGGATTGCACTTCGATCTCCTCCAGTCGGGGTCTTCCTCTCTATTACTTTTTGTCCTTTTATAAAAGGTCCTGTCGGTTGTTTTGCGGCAGAGTGTTATGAATTGAAGCACTCTGGCCGTAGCTCGCACTAAGCGTTCCCATTTCGAAAATTTCGTCGGATCGGGAATGGCCTCTTTATATAGCGGAGCTCTATATCTTTCTGTGATGGTGAAAGATCTTTCTTCACCAGTAGGTTCGGATGACGTGGGTCGTTCTGTTGGCCATGCTGACGGCTCTTTGTATAGAAATGATGGGCCACTGTACCACTCGTGGTTAGAGTCGAAATTGGGTGGTACGTCCCTCGTAGCGGTGTCAGCTATATTCAATTTTGTGGGTACCCAGCGCCAGTCGTCCACTTTACTATTGTCCTCTATTGCTGCTATTCGATGTGCTACAAAAGGTTTGTAGCTCCTGGAACCTTTCTTTATCCAGGTGAGGACAGTTTTGCTGTCAGTCCAATAAGTGACAGCTTC